CCTGGCTAAAATAGTCCATTATGTGGTGTTGCTCTCTCACCTCTTCATCAGAGCTGTTGCTCCCCACTGCCAGGCGGAACAGGGCAGTCAGGGAATTGAGCAGCTCCAGCCACTCCTCCAAGCTCCAGGTGGTGCTGTAATCTGCCCTGTGAGGAGGCTCCCGCCCACACAGTCCATCCACCACCCTGTGACACAGCTACACAGGAGACAATACTGTCAGGACCGCGGTTTGGCATTTGGTAGTGTGAAACAAAAACAAGCTAGTCCCTGGGAATTTGAATTTTGGCATTTTGTTTGTTTTGTATGCCTCAGTACCGGCGATAGCCATGGCCACAGGCATTATGTCTTTGGGTTGTCCATCTGTCCGTCAGTCCCATTCTCGTGAATGAGATACCTTAGGAACGCCTTAAAGGAATTTCCTCAAATGTGGCACAAACGTCCACTTAGACTCAAGGATGAACTGATCAGATTTTGGTGGTCAGAGGTCAAGATCACTGTGACCTTTGCTGCATTTCATTAGTAGTTCCACATGCCCTCATTCATTTACCCTCAGCCCTTGGTATTACATTACAGCTTTATGTTGCACGGAGGCTGCTTGGAGAGCTGAGGGAAAGTAGGCTGGAGAGGAATGGGGGATTTAAATGCAATGCACCTTTCCACATTCATTTTTCAGCTCAACTATCGTGGATCGACTGTTTGTTTCAGGATCAGTGCTATTCTGCTTTTTTTTTCTTTTTCTATGCAATAAGTTATATGACTTTTTTCCAGTTAAATATCAAGCTATTAGAGATTTTTTGAAGATCTGCTGATAAGCGAGTGATATATTAGAAAAACTGAAACTGAAAAGCATGCTGAATCGTAAATTTATTTCATTTTATTTTTATTTGATTTATTTTCCAATTTAGCTTCACCATCTGCAGGTGGTGCAACCAGTTTTACATACATTACTGCCTCCTAATGCCCCCTTGCATCCAATGCATAACTGCATTGCATTTTGGGTGACATAGACCTCTAGAGTGATCATTTCACTCAATTATGTAGCCCTCTGATGGAAGATCTCAACAAGTTCACCTCAGGTTTTCAAACACATTGAATGGCAGTTACAATGGCAGCAGGGATTCCCCAGAGGGCTAGTGCAGAGGGGAAGTCAATGAGGGCATGTAGAAATAATGAAACGTAGCCCTGTCTCATTATGGTGAATGCGATGTCTAAAGAAGGCCTTGAGGGAATTTCCTTAATTTGGCAAAAACATCCACGTGGACCCAAGGATGAACTGATCTGAATTAAGTGGTTAAAGGTCAAGGTCACTGTGACCTCATAAAACATGTTTTTGACCATAACTCAAGAATCCTTATTAATTATGTAAAGTTTTACACAAATGTCTTATCAGATATGATGATGGCCATCGATTAATGTCATATCTCAGGAACACAAGGGGAGACATTTGGTCAGATTCTGAATTGGTGACACTAATCTTGGGTGCCCACCTTGAAACAGTGCTAATTGTATAGCTCTTCTGTGGTGTTGGGTTGCAGATGAGTGTGAAGTATTGACGTTTTAGAATTTGTAGCTTCTTTGCAGCAACATCCACATTTGAAGCATTGTCTACTGTCATGGCTACATATGAGTCTAGACAGTCATGGATGTAAGCTATGACTGCAACTTGACTTACAACAGCATACAACTGCCTGCCCGTAATTCTAGTTTTTAATTATTATAAACTTTGTCCAAAAAGGTAATTTTGACTGTTGGGCTATGAAATTAGCTCCCATCTGTCCCCCATATGGGTATATTGCTTTAACTATGATTTGAAACTGACTGTGGGTATCCCAGCATGCATTGAGAGAGAGGCAGTGTACACCACTGGACAAGTTTGTCACAGAGCAACACACACACACACACACACACACACACACACACACACACACACACACACAAAAAACCACTTTAATGCATAAGAGTTTCCAAATCACCAAACCTGCATGGCTTTGGAGTGTGAGAAGAACTGCGTGATTAGTCAACCTAGTTAATGCTGTTACCCTACTCACTAAACTTATATTACAATTATTATAAGTTTAGTGAGTAGGGTAAACTAAACTTATAATAATTGTAATATAAGTTTAGTGAGTAGGGTAACAGCATTAAACTAAACTTTTATTACAATTATTATAAGTTTAGTTTACCCTACTCACTAAACTTATATTACAATTATTATATTTTGTACAACTGTTGTACTTATTATTCAAAGATTTATTTTAACTTTAACTTTTATATAGTGAATTGTTGTCATGTTTTGTGGGATACTGTGCAATGTTCATTATGCATGGTGCAAAGTAGCATTTAAAAATGATTTGGTTAATGAAAGATGTGATTAGCAATTTCATTTGATTTTTATTGGGAATTTGAAAGCAAAATGACTCAAAGGAGTGTCATGACACAAAAATTCCAGAGGAGAGTACATAAAAGCTAAAAACACTAGTTTCCAATGTGGTCCTCCATGGAAACAGCAAACACAACACGTGGAAACATACAGTTAATGGAAACTTTTCAAATGGCTCTTTTGATATATTTGGCACATATGGAATATAATATGTGTTTTTTTGTTTTTTTATTGTGTAATCACCTGAAAAAAAAGAATCATTGTGTTTTCATTACCTTAGAATGAGACGATTACATCTACAATGGGAGACGGTCCATATCTACTAAGTCCTCCATGTTGCACCACCATGTTTCTATAGTAGCCCAGAAGAGACAAACCAAACACTGGCTCTCACCTTTTCAGCTACCGTTATTAGTAGCACTTCCACAATGAGAGCATCAGAAAAAAAGTGTTTTTTACCAGGTTAAATCACCAGGTCTGTTTGTTTCTTAGAGAAAGAGACCTCTGAAGACAACTTGGCTCCAGTAAAAACCTCCTGAACGTCTTGAATCTCCAACAAGTGTCAGAGAAAATCCAATTCTAACATGAAAAAGCTTTATTTAGTGTTTTTACTGGTTTAAATCACCTGGACTCTCATTTATAAAATAATGCGTAGGATCCACAATAAATTTGTACGTATGGACAAAAGCCAAAATTGGCGTGCGACAAAAAATATTTGACAATTTCTACAATTCATCTTCCACCTCACCATCTGTGTCACTGATTTCTTTCTCCAAAATGTTCATAGGCATAGGTCAAATTCTCCCCTAGTGATGTGAATTGCTGTGCCGAGGCTTCGAAGCGTGTGTCGAGTAATCCAGAAAGTGTTTCCGCGATGCGCGTATCAAGGCTTGTGTTGTTTCAGACGAGTGACGTCATTGGTGACGTCCGAAGCCTCGCTGGCCAGCTGTACCATGTGACTGGTTCGGGAAGTGGTTCAGATCTATATATACAAACCACTAAGTGTAATAGCTTTTGTTGTCCAGTAGATGGCTTAGTAGAGCAAATGAAGCATCAAGAAGCTTTGCCCTTGAGTGAACCAATTTGATGAAAAGCTTCAATGCTTCATGAAGCTTCATCTGCCCATCACTATTCTCCCCAGTCTGATTTTATACGGGTGAGCAGGTGCATGGTTAGTTGCCCATCCTCAACATGCTAAACAATGTAGGAAAACACTGGTATCTTTAAAGTGAAACTGCTTTATTCTGTGTTTTTACCGGTTTAAATAACCTGGTCCATTTATTTTGGAGAAGAAGAGAACTCTGCGGATAATTCTGCTCCAGATAAAAACCTCCTGAACAATGAACACTGAAGGAATTACGACAAAGAGAAGTTTTCAGCTGGTTGTAATGTGCAGTCCTCACCACTAGATGCCACTCAATCTTCCTACATCTTACACACTGGGCCTTTAAACCAGGAGACGTGAGATGGTAAGTGATTGACGGACACAAAGTAAACTTCAGTATTTTGTAATAATTCATTTTGTGAAACTAAACCATCATCTTGTTGAATGCTAATTTGTTTTTTGTTTTAAATGCATTAACCTATGTTAATGATATCACTTTAAAATGCACTCATTGATATTAATCAGACACTGAGATCTGCAATTGTTTTGGTGGCACACTCCAGAGTCCTTCTATATAAAGACTGGAATAAAATATCTACTGAGCCCTCACATTAGTTGGAAGCGACAATACAATCTGCATTGTGCCAGTCCTCATGCTGGAGCTGTGTTTTAGCCCAGCAGCTGGTTACGAGTTTGAATTTAACATATGACCCATCATTTACAGTACCGCCTCGGTAAGTAACAGAAAACCAGAGCCAAAGGTGGTATTTATCTGCTGCTGAATGACTGACTGTATGCTGTATTGTACGTCGGAAATATATGAGAGGAGCAGTCAGTGAAGAGGTGTAAAACATGAGGTTATTATCTCCGTATTTTACGCGGTGCCACCGCCAGATGCTTCATTACACATTTAGAAAACTAAAGTAGTGTCATTACTCCTGTATTCAACGCTTGGTACTTACTTTTAGACAGTCTGTTGCTGGTAACCTGTTCAGTAACACCACCATGTTTTCATTTGGTTCCGCCTGCTGCTGATCAGCTGATCGTAGTCACATGGTAGAGTGAGCTGCGTTCAGGTGGCGTGGAAAAACGAGTTTCATCATCTCCATAAACCGTTACTAGATAGAAATACTGTGCAATACACATAATTCGGTACATACATCAGTATTTTGCCTTAATAATTGTAGCCTCGGTTAATATATAGAGAATTGTACAGATGTTGGCTCAGAAAACCAACCAATTGAGTGTGACCTTGGTCGTTGGGAAGGAGGCAACAGGCAACGTGAACCAATTGTAAATGTATAAAGTGTTATTTTATACTATAATTTTTTGAAGCCGAATGTAATACATAACCCCACTGATTCCTATTTTGTAATACTTAGCATAAAAACGACTCATGTACGTTTAATACCGAAAAAATCTAAATTTAACAATGTGTCTTTGGGTTTCAATGTGACGCTGCTCCGAAGGGAAGGGGAACCTCTCACAGCCGTGCCGCGACTTGTGTTTCACATCCTGCTTTGTGTTGCGGCAGGCTGTTTGTTTGTGGAGTATCAGGTCGTGTCACGGTGATGAACGGCGATGTGACCGAAGCGACTTTGTTCACCCGAAGACAGGCAGCATATGGCGATAAACAGCAGGGTAAGTGTCGCCTGTCACTGTTTGTGCTGTGGATAAAGACAGCTCTCTTCCAGGAAGAGACGGGAATGCTGCGCTCATTCATTACAGTAATGGAGAACAACTGGAGGCATATTGCTTCATCAACTGTTGTCAGTTAGTCGAGGGTCGATACTTGAGGCCGTACAGGTCATCTTACGCGATAAAACTTTGCTTGATAAACATGAAGTTATCACAGCTGCTGAACCTTGACCACATATAAGGCAGTGTTTCGTTAGCACCGAGTATTGACAAAACAATAAATGAGTTCTTTGGGGACTTTTTCCCAGTTAGAAACCCTATTGAGATAAGCTGGGTAAACAGGCGTGGTTTACAAGGCTCTAGTGCAGCTTTGTATGTTGCGTTTTGTTGTAAGTTTAACTGGAGTAAGCGTAGATTGCATTAAATTATGCATCCAGTGTGTGCTGGTATTGTTTACAGATAAATCATAAAGGAATGGTAAATCTGTGTGTCATATCCCATGATTAGAGGAGGGAATCACCATCCACCATATGATATCACCATACTTAAAGGGTAACTTTGTTATTTTCAGCCTGAACCTTGTGATCCTACATGTTTGTGTCTCAGTGACTATTTGGAGCAGCACCTTTGATACTGGTCCAGTACTGAGCAAGAGAGCTGCAGTTGGCAGCAACGAAACAGGTTGCAGTGTAATAACTTCAACCCTCAATTTACATCCACTAAAAGTGTTTGTTTTTGCCACAGAGGGGCTCAGGTTATTATTATACACATCTAACAACCTTGTGCAAAGGATCCTAACAAAGATAGACTTTTTTGTTAAAGAGTAGCATCCCTTTTGTTTGACCTGAAACAGCCCTGAGATTACCATTATCGATACTTGGCACTGTGTGACAACACAATATTGCCACACAAAAATATTGCGATACTATGCTGTATGGATTTTTTTCTCCACCCCTAATAATTGGTAAAAATACATGCTGTTTAAATCTGATAAGGTCCACTGACCGAGAGCTCATTGATGCTGTGTCACATGCACCGCCAAGTTCTATTGAGCAACGGCTGAAACAGCTTTATGGGTATACCATGCTCCCTTCTATCAACAGTTTGTGTTTGTCCCCATGCATAAAGCCAGCTCCATAAAGATAGCTCTATAAAGAAAACATGACTGGCCCACCCACAGCCTTAACCGTAACCCTGTCCTACACCTTTGGGATGAACAGGAGAGCTGACTGTGAACCAGTACTGATTGATCACCCAACATTATTGTTGAACCTCACTGATACTCTGATTATGGCTGAACAAAAATTTAAAAGCAGCACTTTTGTTTTTGCTCCTATTTTTCACAGTTTAAGTTAAAGATTTAAGACTTTTTAATACAAATTTTGATCACAAATTTGTTAAAATCCATGTTAGTGAGCACTTCTTCTTCTCCAAGATAATCCATCACCTGACAGGTGAGGTATCAAGATGCTGATTAAACAGCATCATTACTGTACAAGTGTGGCTTGGGATGGTCACAATGAAATGTGCAGTGTGATCACGCAACACAGTGACACAGATGTCACAAGTTCTAAGGGAGTGTGCCATTGGCATGCTGACTGCAGGAGTGTCCACCGGAGCTCTTGGCTGTTAAGTGAATGTTCATTTCTCTACCATAAGCCGTCTCCTATGTTCTTTCCCTGAATATGGCAGTACACCCAACAGACCTTACAGCTGCACAAGTTGGTTATGGTGACAAACTGCTGTCAGGTCAAGACCCTAGTGAGGATGATCAACATGCAGATTAGCTACCCTAAGATGGTTTTTGACAGTTTGTGCAAACATTCTTTGGTTGTGCAAACCAATTGTTGCATCAGCTGCATGGGTGGCTGGTCTCAGACAATCTTGCAGGTGAAGACTCTGGATGTGGAGGGCCTGGGCTGGTGTGGTTGTGAGGCTGCTTGGATGTACTGCCAAATTCAGGAAAACAACATTAGAGATATTATGGTTGTGAAATGAACACTGAGTTCACAGGCAACATTCTTGCACTCAACATGGACTTAAATCATAGTTTAAATGGATGTGACATCATCAAGAGTCTGAAGATCTAGAGGGAACCTTCAGGGGGTTGCAGGAGTCTCAGACTACAATAATACAGCAGGGGCGCTCAAACTTTTGATGACTGCCAAAGCAGAGAGCATATGATTGAAGGCCAACTGTAGCTAACAGCAGTAGCATTGACGACAGGATGACATTCCCGCGACACTTGTGCATGGATGCAGGGGCGTAGCACCAAAGTCTGGGCCCTAAATGTGTAAAGAATCTCTGTGAGCCCCCTACCCTTCCTCTCTTGATCTGTTTTTTAATTTTTGTTATTATTTTATACAAATTCAGTTTGCTTTATTTCCCTTTCCATTCTTTCTTTTTCTGCCTTGGTGAAAGACATGCCAATGTACGTTGGAGCTCCAACAGCAAAAGCAGTCACTCATTTGGCTCAAGCTACATTTAAAGACCAACCTGAGTGCAGAAGTTTCCACTATTTTTATATACAAAATTCAGTCTTTTAACAGATTCATTCCCCAGTTTTATCTTAGTTATGGCACTAATTACGTAGAAATAAAAAAAAGAGCAAACAAAGCCAAACCCACTGGGCCCTGGGTAGTCAGTGGATATATCATGAGAAGTGGATACAGTATTGTAGGTAGGACTTTATTAGCCAAAAAGATATATTTCCGCTGTAAGAAATTACCTGGAAGCTGTGCTGCGCTGCTTCCACATGGGGCCCATAGAACAGGTGCCCAAGAGACTTTGTACATGCTATGTGGACACATACATGTATGTATTATATTACATGTAGTTTTTTTCCCCTTTTTTGACTATTTTGCATACATATATGATATGTATGTATATTCTTGGCTATTTCTGTGGATATCATCAGGCATGACAGAGGCACAATTATCTAACTCTTTTGTGTCTGAATGTTGTTGCTTCATCATGTCTATTGGGGTTATGGGTTTCCTTGGCAGCCGGAGAGGGGGAGGGGTCTGAAACAAATGGGTTAGTTGGACTGTTGGGTGTTTTTGTTTTGTTGTTCTATGTGTGTATATGCATGCTATTGTCTTTTTTCCTTTTTATTTATTATTATCACTATTCTATTTATATATGCACTTTTGTAAAAATTTATATTTTGATTTACTTTTTTTTTTTTTTTTTATCTTGCCCCGTATATAGGCTACTGCCTTGGTTCATCATGTCAGGGGATAGAGGGTAGGGGTGGGGTATATGATATCATACGTTCACAAAAAATGTTATCAGACAGAATGCATTAAATCCTAATAGTTGAAATGAGTCATTTTGGGGGCATTGTGACGCTCAAAAAAAATGCATCCAGTGACTTATAGACATCTCTTTCACAATGTAAGCCTATGGGAGAAAATCTTTTTGGGTCCGCTGGCACCACACGGCGTACTTGTGAGTTGTAATTTCACTGTTTGGCTGCTATGAAAATTGGCTTCAAAGCCAATTGCGCTTCCTTGGAGGCCTGCACTTGTGAGGGTTGCCACTAGTTGCCAACCAATAGCTCTATCTAACAGAAGGTATTGATGCCAAATGATTAAAATGTAATGCATGCATTTCACGTCATGTTCGGGGGCTGCACAGAATGATTCTGGTGGCTGCCAGTGCAACATTATCCACTCAAAATGATCTCAGTTATAGAACATGTAACAGTTCTTTTTTTAAAAACATAGGTTTAACTATCAACATAGTGGTTACTCAGATAGTGTCATCAGCTCTACACTTCAGCTCCTGAGCAACAACGTTTGAGGTAGATAAAGACGTAGCAGTGGAGGTCATGTGACCTGATGTGTTTCAGTGTTCTAAATGTGTTTTAATGTCAACACTTTCAGCAGCTTTTGATCACACTTCCAGAGCTGCACATAAGAAGTGCAGTTTTTAATTACACAGTGTAGTTAACCCTTTTGTTGAAACATAACTCTACTTACACTTCTCCCAAACCATGTTTAGAAGTTATAAATAGGAAGTAAAACTTACTGTTAATAAAATGCCATGAATAGGTCAGGCTGGGCCTTTTTTACAGTTCACTTCCCTACATTTCCTCAGTAAAACCTGGTTTATTTTGTGAAAGGTGTTATTTTAGGCCTTAAAGATGATATATTTCCACTTCCAGGCCCGTGCAGCACATGTAAAAGCAGCTGTATCAGGAAGTAAGGTGCAGGTGTAACTCCTAAGCTGTCAGCTGTACAACAAAGTGTTCTAGTGATGTTTGAAGATAAATCAGAGATTTACATTCCTCTGTGGATGTTTTCAAGTTGTGGACAAGAATCCAAAACCAGCAGCAACCAAGCATGAAACTCCAGTATTTATGCTGTAGGCCTGTATACTGTAATAACTTTGAATTCATGAAAGAATGCAATTCATGTGCTGTAGCTTCAGTTGTTATCTCCCATCAGTGTAAGTCATATCTCACCCATGTGCTGAGAAAGGTGGTTTGCAGGTTAGGCATGTCACAGAGCTTTGTGAGGGGGGAGTAGGCTTCCAGCTCTGAGATGAGGAAGCGTCGACAACAGGAAGCACCATGCAACATTTTTATTTTTACTTGAAGTGTCCAGGTTGTATGACAAAGCACGGTGGTGCAGTGGTTAGCATTGTCGCCTCCCAGCTCGAACCCAAGGTGGGGGAGCACCTCCCTGCATAATTTAATTAGAGAGAAAATCTCAACTTTATTTTAGTAATTTTCAAAGGGAGAGTTTTTACTTCCATGAACAAAATGGTTTCAAGTTTCAGATACAGTAATAAAACATTTGTTCAACCAAAAATAACCTGTCTGTTTTAATTACTTTAAGGGTCATTCTGACTGATAATAATAATATAATATAATACAATATTGTGGGACTGTGATACTGCAATATTTTCTTAGACAGTTATTGTACTGTGAAAATCTCATACCGTTGCAAACCTACTCCCCACTGCAACTTACCCTCACCCCAGAAAGTGCTCTGTAAGATAGCATTATCTATTTTACCCCCCCCCCCCAGTCTTTTTCCTTTCCCTTCTCCTTTCCTCTCTTTAAAGTTCCCAGACGTGCACGCACACATGCACACACACTACTACACTTTCTTATTCACTTCCTTATGTTCCCATTGTTTCTATACCTCTGCCTCCTCCCCTGCTGTTTGTTGTTAGTCTTGTTGTATGTCAGTGTATACTGGTGTGTATGTGTTCTATCTGTTGTTTTTCTGTCAATGTTCAGCTGTTGTGTTCTGTATTACCAATACAAAAAAAGGCCTATATGACCGAACAGCCCTTATAGGCAAAATAGCCCATAATGCACTGGAATGAGAAGACTCTGACACGAAGGCCCATAAACACATTACTACTTTTTCACAGTGACAGTCCACAGGCTTTCAACTGAGCAAATACGGCCTGCTGTTTGTTTTATCACAGCGATGGCCTTTGGTGAGAGTCACTCACGGTGCTCTCAAAAAAGTTTCATTCAAACCATCTGCATGGTAACCATAGCAAGGGCTCAGTGCTCATAGGGTTTTTTTGATAGTGTTGATAGTTATTTCTGTATTCAGTTGTTGCACTTTTATCTCATATAGACTTTTGTTCAAGTTTTTTTTTAAACATTAAATAATTTGCCTAAGCAATTTGTTCTCCCATGCCTGTTTGTATGCAGAGCCTACTTAACCTACAGTTCAAATAAATTGTTTTGGTATACATTAAATTTAATGCAAAATTGCCATGCAATGCAAATTTCGTGTAGTAAGCGCTCTGGTATCGGTATCAGTATTGGTATCAGTAGATATCCATATTCAGGAATTGGATCAGAACTTAAAAAGTGGATTGGTACCTTTCAAGAAAGTAGTCCCCAAAACATGTACTATTATAGTTTGGCCTGTTTAGAATATCTAATCACTAACAGACATGGTATCAGAGGGCATTGACAAGCTTGCAGACCGCCTGTATAAGAACAAACTAAAGAGACAAATCATTTTGTTGTTCTGCCTTTGCAGGATGAGGACATTGTGAAAGTTCAGTGTGGAGCACAGAGGAGCAGGAGGCCACAGAGCAGGGGGCCCAGCCACTCTCACAGCTCAGCTAGGGCCTCCACCACATAGATGGAGCGGCTCCACTGGGTGCAGCATCGTTGTCGGCAACTGCTGGCGGGAAACTCAGGCAGAGGCTGGTACTCTGCCCCCGATGGCCTGCCCAACAAAGCCTCCCTGGAGGCCCACAGCTCTCCACAGAGAGCCAGTGGGAAGCGAAGAACTGTCTTTGCCCGCCATGGGCCCCACCAAGAGGAGTACGAAGCAGTCTCCAAAGGCTACAAGGGCAACGCCATCCGCACTACCAAGTACAGCTTGTTGACTTTCATCCCCATGAACCTGTTCCAGCAATTCCACAGGTCAGATTTTTACTTGTAGGTTACTTGAACTGCTGGGCTTTGTTGAGGAGGGTCTGGATCACAAAGCCAAATTAGTGTGTTATCAGTTTGCCTTTGAGATACCGTTCTTTTTTTCTTGGACTATTTTCTATTTATTAGTCTCTGTTGATAGTTAACACCTTCATGCTGGTGACAGCAGTGGCTCAAGGCATTATGTTTTTATGTTGTTCATCCCCCCACCTCACTCTCGTCAACATGACATCTCAAAAACATCTTGATGGAATTTCTTGAAATCTGGCGCAAATGACCAGTTGGACTCAACAATGAATTGATTAGACTTTGGTGGCCAAAGGTCAGGATCACAGTGACCTTGTCTTTCTCATCCATGTGAATGTGGTATTTCAAGAACACCTTGGGGGGATTTTTTCAATTTTGTCATAGATTTCCACCTGGACTCAACAATGAACTGATTAGATTTTGGTGGGCAAAGGTCAAGGTCACTGTGATCCCACAAAACCCATTTTTGGCCATAACTCAATAATTCACAATTAGGACAACATTTGGTGACACTAATTTTGGGTGTCCACCTTGAAACTGTGCTGATTGTTTAGATCTTCTGTGCTTCCGGGTTGAAGATGCCTCCATAGTTTTCACATACTAATTTGCTGCTTTGGTCCTCCTTTGTAGGGCTGCCAACCTCTACTTCCTGTTCCTGGTGTTACTGAACTGGGTGCCAGTTGTTGAAGCCTTTCAGAAGGAAATTACCATGATTCCTCTGCTTGTGGTTCTCATCGTTATTGCCATCAAAGATGCCCTGGAAGACTACAGACGCTACTTGTTCGACAAGAAGGTCAACAACAATCTAGTGCGAGTGTTCTGTGGGTGAGTGAACCTCTATCAGCTTAAATGGCCAGTTCAAATAACAAATGCTTTATTTCTGTATAAAATAGTGGACGTAGCTAATGTGATATCCCCCATTGGTTTGTGGACTCCCGTTTCGCATTTTGGCTGTCGCTATCTTGTTTTTTGGAGCCAGAATTGACCATATTTGGGTGAGAGGCTAGCATTGTAGAGGAGAGAGGGGTGGATCTGACTGAGAAGTCAAGGACACTATCAGCAGACAGCCTGTCACTCAAAGCAGCCCACCCTTAATTATGTGTACCTTTAACCAAAATTCTATGGGTGAGTTTTAAAAAAAATCACTACCATACAGTTGTTATGAATGTTGAAATTAGCTATAGAGACTTTACCAGGCTGTAAACATGTTTATTTCTGCTGTAACATTGGGCATTTTAACATGGGGGTCTATGGGGACTGATCTTTCAAGAAACTGCAGTTTTTGGCACTTCAGTGTTGGCTCTGGAAGTTGCCGCTTGATCGCAACTGAAGTGATCCTATCGCAAGATGGTCTCTAGTTTTCTTGTGCCATGTACAGTCTTAAGGCCCAGACACACCAAACCCACTTCAAAGAACTAGTGGCAAAAAGTTGCATTTGAATATGCCACAAAACCAACAGCCAAATAGTATACGTTCTGGGACTGTACAAGAGGATATAACTCTCTATACCAGCAGGTGGTGGTAGTCTGTAATCCTCATTCGAAAAGGGAAACTGGAGTACTAACAGAAGGATTCAAGATGCTAGTTAACCAGTTAGCACACCAACAACACAACCAGATGTTGAAAGAATAGATTATATTTACGGTGGGCTAGCAAACAATAACACAAAAAATTACTAACTGTTTCTGCTAAAGAGCTCAATGGCTGAAGAAAAAAAAATCTCAGGGAATATAACAAGTTTGTTTCGATCTCACTCCCTTTTGACTTTAGTCCTTTGTTTGCTTTCCTCACTTCTGTTTCTCTTCTTGTGCGCTGAGCTGAACTGCCAATCAGAATGAATTTTTTCTAACACAGAGGCTCGCTGGCTCCCACCCAAAGTCAACATGCTGAATTGGCTGAAAAACAGTTGACAAGGACCGACTTGTACCTGTGGTGCATAACACACCACAAAAACTAAGGCAACAGATGATCACCAGTGGCCCAACATTGACCAATCGCCCTCAAGTGTCTCACCTGCCTACTTGGCTGACAAACTGAGTCAGACTGACAAACTCAGGTCTGCAGGTACTGCACTTGTGCTGCTGCATTAGTTCACACGTTTGTCATTAATGAACACAGAGACCTCTTCAGTTTGCCAGATAATCAGTAGCCTAATTTCTGGAGTCAAATAGACTGAGACAAATGTGAAACATTTTAAATGTAATCACATTTAACTCTTATGATAATGTTGCCTCCACAGGATAGATGAGGGTTTTAACTTTCAGAAATTAGTAAAATGATTTGAGCTGTAGAAATCTGCTCTTATAAGGAGTCTAAGACATCATACCTAAAAAAAAAAAAAAAACATGTCTACAGCAGGTAAACATCAGATATGATGACCTCTTGTGGTGTGATTTCCACAGGACGCAGCAGCTGGTGGAGACCACAGCACAGGTTCAAAGTAACTGCAGCTTCTAATGACACAGCAGTGCAGTTTCAGACTATATAATTTAGTTCCAGACAACACAATTTCCAATCTACCTCTAACTGCAGCTAAGCTAATGACAGAATAACATCCCCACTCTCCCAACCGGCAATTCCAACAATGGAGAGCTCTATACTGAGAATAGTCACCTCATTGTACAAGAGTAGAAGGTCAAAAAGTGTGATGGATTTGTCAAATGCTGGATAATATAAATAGTATATAAAACCCAAACAATATGCATGATTAGATACAACCAGAAGCCACGCCAGAATATCTGTTCCCGAGGCAGCACTTTCCCATGGCGCAGGGTTTATCAGGTGGAGGTTGCAATGCTGACTAGTCAAGCATAAGACTTAAGGCTGCAATACATGATAGACTGACGAGCACTGACTGTCAGTTGCATCAGTTTTTGGACTTGGAATTTTTAAAAAGAAGAAGGGAAAGAGGGAAGAAGATTGGTCGCATGACAGGCAGTGTGAGTTAAAGAAAAGGAAGTGAAACCTGAATTTGTTTGTGAGTGTGGCACCAGAGCAGAAAAACAACCAGGTAACAACACTTAGCAGACCCTCGTTTTTGGAGGCAGGCACCTTCACTTCTGGCCTTTTCAACCTCCCTCTCCATCTGTACACATTTCCTCCTCAACATCCATTCAAACACAGTAACATTTTTGTCTTTCAAGCAAATCTCAAACCACGTGTTTAAGTCGTTTAGCAGTTTGATTTGCCTAACCTCCACAGCTATTCAGATGGGTTGGAAACAAATGCGCTGAAGGAACCTTTAGTCCCTGGTTTGACTGAAGTTCCTCGCAGTGTCAAGAACTTACTTTTACACTGTAGCTGGTGGAACTAAAAGGTCATTTCCAGTGGAAGTAGTTCAGCCACAGCAACTCTTTTGTTGAAAATGGTGTGCTAAACTACAAGCTGTTTAGAAAAAGTAGTTTAAGAACACTGTTAGGCTAATTGTATAATAACCAGATGCAGTACCATATGCAGTGCTGTAATATTTACACCACTTGCTTGATTCTTTCCTGAATTGGGATTTACCCCACTCTGAACCATTGTTTGGGAAAGCCTAGATAATATGGTGGAAACAGATATTAATTCCAAGCTGCTCATTATTACTCTGGAAAAAAAAATATGATTGACCAACACATTCTCTCGCCAACCTCCTCACATATTGACGTTTGGTCATGAACTTTCCACGTCAAGGTATGATGTGTAAGGTACCCTGAGTGCGTTGGTTGTTGATGTTGTGGGACGCAGTGTCAACTTCTGCCTGGTACAAGCATTGTCTGTGTTTAAAATACACTTCTGTTTTTACAGGTAATATACAGTTTGTACACAGTCTCTTTCAAAATGAAAGAACTACATCGGTACATTGCCACAAATTAATGTTGTTGGTTTTATTTCAACAACACGTGCACGTGGTTGGGTTAAGAAAAAAAACAGGGTTTGGCTTTACATTCATAGGGAAGCAAACACCGGCCTCCCAGGTGAAAATTGGTTGTTGTTGGACCCATCCACCACTCCACCTGCCTGGCCTACTGGGACTTTGGCCCCTTTAACTTACATTGTTGTCCGGCTATGTTTCCACCTGATGCTGCCGGGTGCTGTACAGAATAACAGCAACTTGCCAGAAATGCCGCTGTGAAAGGACAGCTTTTTTGTCGGTATGATGTCTGACATTGGAATCCACTGACCAAGCATCAGTATTCAACGACTTTGAAGTGAGACATGCTTGGATTGAGATGTCTGTGTGTCAGCCTTTATGTGCCTTTGAAATGATTCACATCATTGTGGATGACCACAACATAAAAATAACTATCCTGTTTGCAACATAGCACTTTGATTTAACTAACTAGTCCTTTCATTTGCTACACAATATTGAAAAGTGATCGCTATTCCGTAGTTGCCCCCACACGTCAAGGAGCGAGCTGAGAGCTGACTGCTAGTGCTGCGCAGGTAACAGTTTTTTAATACCTTCTTGTTAAGAGCCAACTTTGTGCATTATGGTGGAAAAATTGTCAGTACTGAGGAGTGAGACAAGACTGAGTGTTGCTGAGAAGGTGGAAGGTGGACGATTGCACACTTGTCACTTTCTGACCAGCCTACCTTTACCCATGATATTTTCTATTACTGTAAGCTTTACTAAATTGCCCATGAACCAGAGGTGGGCCACGGCGTGCATCATAATTACCAGCTTTCACTCAGGGAAACTTGGGAGTAGCAAGACAAAAGGTGCTGTGGCAACTGGATTTCTTGCAAACCCCACAACCTGTACGTACAAATACAGTAGAAGCTCAAAACCTGTTGTTTTTAGCTGTAGTCTCTTTGTTTTTCATGGAGGTAATTATTACAAACAAAAAACAGTCAAAATATGAGCAAATGCAAATGCAATATCATTGTTATTTAAGATTGTTCCCATCAACCAGAGGACATTTTCTCTGTATGTCTTTATTGTTGCAGTGGATACCTCAGCATAGTGTCAGCATGGTGTGTTACATGATTAATTTATCAGTTAGAAGAGTCATCATTTCATTATGCTAGAATGCGTCTTAAAATCAAGTATAACAACATATTATCCAAACCATGCTGCTCAGTTTCAAAAGTAGTTGTATGAATCTGTCCATTGCTCTGATCTTGAAGGATCTGCAGTGAATCAGTGACACAATCCCTGCTGCTGCTCTGTGACCCTCCTTTTTCCTAGAGATGATTACACAAGTAGTCTTTTGAGACAGCTGTAAAACTTGAACCTTGAGTTTGTTTACAGTATGCCTGCCCTATAGAGGAGTGGCTATGAATTACGTCACAAAGGTAGTAGCTCAACCGTCCCGTTCCCTCGCCTGTCCATGGCTTTACTTTGGACAGCCCGGAGAAAAATATTCCACATGAGAACAGCCTATTCAGAGAAGGGACAGCATGAACGTGGAAGAGAAATTACAACTGGAGAATAATTGTAGCCAGCTAAGGCTTTAAGTGGAGACATAAACCGGCAGACTGATCTGAATCCACTGAAGCAGTGGACTCATGTATAGCTTGGAACGTCCAATCCGTCTTCACTCTATCAACGAGCATTTGCGGAAGAAGAGGACAGTGGTACCGTACTCCACAGAGGATGAGGAACTGAGACAACTCCTGAAGACGTATAAAAACAATAAGATTCAGACCACAAAGTATTCTCTCCTCTCCTTCCTGCCCAAGAATCTGTTTGAGCAGCTCCATCGCTTTGCCAATGTCTACTTCATCTTCCTTGCTGCGCTGAACTTTGTTCCTGTGGTGGAGGCCTTCCAGCCAGAGATCGCCCTGACTCCTATCATCCTGGTGCTGACTGTGACGGCTGTCAAGGATATCTGGGAGGATTACCGTAGGTTTAAATCAGACCATTCCATCAACAGGCTTCTCTGCCATGTTTACAGCAGGTGGGTTAAAAGTTGCTTTTGCTCACTTTGATGTGGCAACAGCTAACATCTAAGAGTTCTTCTTCTCGTGGGACTGTATATTTTCCTTAGCGTAAGGATAGTTGTGACTTTGTTGTGTGCTCCTTTGTTTGAGCTCTGATCTATTGTCATAACTTCAGTGATATTGTTACATTTACATACCAAAAAAAAAGATCTAGATTCCAAGGTCAAGAATGAACCTTCAAGTAACAAAACATCTCTTTTAACAAAAAGCAGACTACATGTAAACTAGTACAAGTATGTATTCGAGAACTCAGTAAAGTTACTGTGAAAATCACTTCCGCCATCCTCTGTGTTGCTAAACTGTAAGTGGTCAAAGTGGTCCAAAAAAATTCAAATCAAGACTTCCAGTAAGGAAGTTTTCACTTGACTAATCGGTCAGTGAACCCTTTACAAAGGATTGTAGGTCACCTCTGGTAATTAAATATGTACTTCCTCTTGACAAATCCCTCCCTGTAATTTTTCAACCTTTGTGTAGCAGCATGTAAAAGGCAATATTGGCAGGAGGCATGACCAAAGTCTGGAGGAAATCCAACAGTCCTCTCTGTGATGTACTAAAGTAATGTGTTGTGTTTTTGGATGATTTTAATGCTGTAGTTTCAGTTTCTTTGATAAGTATTTATATCGAAGTGACTACTACTTTAGTTCCACCATCAATCTAGTTACTGTAGAATGTTGAGCAGAAGTCAAAATGAAAAAGTTTTGTTTTTGTTTTGACATTTTTGACAATGTTCTCATTTAGATATACACACATGATCAATTGTGCGTGTGAATTGTTCAATTAAGTGAAATTACACACACTTTGAACACTTTAAATCATGCCTCAAGGAAGCCAGTTACAGTACGATGATAATAAAAACTGAAACAAAAGTTTCCAGGAGAGAAAATAAAGTGAAGTGGTAACTGTCCATCCACACTATGTAAAGCATAATTGGAGCTGAAATCCAAGATCCAAAACTAAATTGAAGATTGTGCCTGAGTTCTCTTAGATGGTGCATAATCTCATTTTGAAGACTTTACAGTTGAATCTACAGTTGAACTCAAAAATTGATATAGCTTTGGCAGAATTTGTTAAAACTGGACTTTTTTTTATAATTTGACCGATAATGCAGCCCACTGACAATATGCCAAACAGCACCTTGACAAGCCTGAAAATCTCTGGGACAAAATCATTTGGAGTGATTTAATTGAGACCATAACTGCTATGTTTGGAGAGGAGTCAACAAGACCTGTAATGAAAAGTACATCAGTACTGTGAAATATGGAGGTGGATCTCTAATGTTTTTTGGGGGGTGACCCACAGTGGCACTGATTGATGGCAGAAAAAATACTACAGGACAATTTGCATTCATCAGTCTGGAAACACATGGGACAATGATCCAAAACATGAGGCTAAGTCGAACCTTCAGTGACAGCAGCTGCAAAAAGCGAAGGTTCTAGAGTGGACATCACAGTTTCCTGACCTCAATACCATTGAGCCATTTTGGAAAGATCTCAAACATGCAATCCATGCAAGAATACCCAATAATTTATGGGACCTGGAGGCTTTTTGCCTGGGCAGCCTTACCTCCTGAGAAAATAAAGGGCTTGTCCTTAACTATTACAAAAGAGTGTCAGCTATTATTAATGCTAAACAGGGCAATACACACTATTAAGACCTAATGGTGTGCAAACTTTTGAACAGGGGCCATCTCAGTATTTTCCTTATTGCTGTGTTTAGTTTAATGATTGTGCTATCCTGTGATGCCTTATAGTTTCATTTGAATCCTGTTAAATATAAAAGAAATGTGTCAGGGTATGTAAACTAAGGAGCAGAACTGTATATTCAAGGCATTGCTTGTATAAAAAGCTGGATTTTGAACTAGCAACACAGTAGCAGTTCTTTTGCTCCTGGGCTGTGTGCACCAACTCATTTGTCTTGTAACTGTTATTTTATTTTAGAAGCTGTGCATGTAATCCAGTGCTTTGAGCTGACCTTTACAATATTTTTGTACTACAGTATTAGATTAGTATTCTGTATTTAGATTGCTATAAAAAAAAAACAGAGCAGTATATCCTGGATAACCTCCTGACCTCACATTGTACGTAACTGTACAGTTACGATAATCCCTCTGCCCTGCTGTATTTCAGTCACTGCTTGGAAAGGGTGTGAGACTGTGAGTGTAATAATTAACTACTGGCTGTATCCACTATATGTGTGAATAGTGCCTGTCAGTCAAAGGGGTGGGGTTTTTTTCTCTAAGCTTTTAAAGAATGCAGCCTCCCCACTGGCAAATAGCGCTGGGAGCTTCACCTTCATAAGATTCAGTTGACATATACAGTACAGTATAGTTTTAAAGGCTGACACTGGTCACATGCTCAAAAGGATAACTTAAGGTCATACAGTTATCCTTCACCATTGCTACGCTGATGATACGCCACTATAATTCCCCTTAAAATCAAGTATAACATATAAATATATAGTCTCTTTTAAGTTGCATTGAGGCTGTCAAATGCTACATGACCAAAAATGTTCTCCAGCTTACTCAGGATAAGATTGGTCCAAAAAGTCCCATCTGGAGATTTAGAGACCATTTTACATGCTTTTGTTACTATGTATCATGTCTTGAAATGTAGCAGAGTACAAGTACAAAGTAGCACAAATGAAAACACTCAAGTAAAGTACCTCAAAATTGTACAGAAGTATGGTACTTGAGTAAATGTTCATTTCCATCACTTCCTGGTATCCCTCTGTACTCTGTCCAATGAAGACAAAAAAGGCTCTGAATGCTTGTCAAGGCTCACGATACAGATCTCTCTAGATCCTTTTGTCATGTCATTGTGTTGATTCATACTGTTACCTCATTTGCCTGAGACATTTTCTTCTCTCTCTCCTGTGTCTTATATTGTCCCATAGCAAGCAGAAAACCTATATTGACCAGTGCTGGAAGGATGTGCGAGTTGGAGACTTTGTCCGTCTGTCCTGTAATGAAATCATCCCAGCTGACATGCTGCTGCTGTATTCCTCTGACCCTCGTGGGGTTTGTTATATCGAAACTGCCAACTTGGATGGAGAGACCAACCTGAAACAGAGGCAGGTAGTTTCAGACCTCCCACCGCAAGTAAGTTGAAAGTGTAGATAAAGAAGATGACATCCCATGTCTTCCTATCCATACGTTTGATTAAATGTGTTATGTGTGATTTTAAGGGAGTAGAGTTCAACCTCGAGAACTTCCATAGTCATATTGAGTGTGAGAACCCCAACAATGACCTCAGCAGGTTCAGAGGTTACATGTGAGTTATTCTTCATCTTACAGTGATCCAACACATCTATGGTCTGTCATCAATTCAGAAGTGATGTAATAATTTGCGCGTGCATGTTGTACCACAGGGAGCACCCCAGTGGGGTTCGTGTTGGCCTCCACAATGGCAACCTCCTGTTGAGGAGCTGCACCATCCGCAACACTGAGACCGTGGTGGGCATTGTGGTCTATGCTGGTAAGAGCACATGCTAGGGTTAGTTTGTGTGGTTGTTTGCTTTGTACCAGAAATTGACTTTTGACAGTTTTCACACCTAAATGAACTGAAACAAATGTGTGAACACACTAGAAGCACAGTTTAACCAGATGGGTTAGGTGTGAAAGCATTCTGTTAAGTTTTTGAGCAGCATTGAAAAGAATTTGAGTGCAAGGAGGAGCTTTAAAGAAATTGGAATATGTCAACTCAAGCATGGATTACTGAACAAGCCTACCATGCACAGACGCCAGGGGCCCAAAGCATCAGGACCCCCCAAGCCTCCACCTGCAAATGCCAAGGAACTTTAAAGAGACACAAAGTAACTACATAAAGGGGCAAAACAAACAAAGAGACACAACACAACCACAAACAACACAAAGAGACAGAACATGACCTCAAAGAGACACAAAACAATTACAAAGAGACATAAAATGTTGCCGGAGCTTTTTTTCCCTCTGATTTAGTATTAGAATATATGCCGTTCACATAACCTGGTCAAAATTAATATACATATATATATAAATGCTTGTGTATGTCACATAAAAACTAATGGAATGCTCTTGCAGCAAAACATCCTTTCATTTTAGAGTTAGTCTACTAATTGAATTTTCCACGAAATCAACAGTGGCTTCTGCCTCAAAACCAGCCACAACTCAGCCCTGAGCAGAGTGACTGTCCGCTATTGACCAATCAGCAGACTGCAGTGTTTCTACCTCCACCTTTTAGTACCAGATCTGTATGCTAGGTACACCAACAGAGGGGTGACCAAAAATGGGGAAGGTAAGGATCGGAACATTGGTACCATCCACAACATCATATTGGAAACGGAGAAAAAAAAGTGTACCGAACTGAACTGAACTGCACCCATACCGTACTGCTTGGTAAAAATGGGGCTATAAAGACACAAAATTACCTCAGAGACACAAAACAACGACAAAGAGACACACAATTACCACACAAAGAGACACAAAACCACAGAGAGATGTGTAACAACTACAGAGAGATGAAGACAACAAGCCCTCCCAGATTTTCATTGCAATCCTAGGCCCCTAACTCATCACTATATCTTACAAAGCTTTTACAAAGCTACTCTCAGCCTACTTCCAGTATATTTATGTGTACATTCAGCAAAAAAGTGAAAATGTCTCTGCTTTCCACTCACAGAACATGTTTTTATTGTCTATACCAAGGGTGCGTATCGAGTTTGGGAAGCGAGCATGTATGTATGTAGCTCTGTAAACTCGGAAGGACTTAAAGTTGCACTCATTGGTTCATCTCGCCCGTTTCAAAGCACTGTTGCAAGATTCTTATATGCAGACATCTATACAAAGTCTGTAGCCCTTTTTATACAAAGATTGTACTGTAGAGCTGCTACAAAGTCCCTTCTATATGCTGCCTTTACATTTACAAAACCAAACGGCGGCGGCATCATTCTGCTCCAGTGTGTGATTTCAGATGGGGTGTGACATGTAACACAACACCATTGGCCTCTAGTGTGATATAACATACATTTTGGCAGCGCAATAACAATAACAATGCTATTAAGATGCCAATAATCGTTTACAATCCCTGTTATATGGCGGCTGATCTCGTCCTCTGCTCAGAAGGTTAGGGGCTCCCAGACCTCATTGTTTTCCCAACTGGCAGAAATTTTCAGCCACTGTTGTTCTTCTTTGAGTTAGCTACTAACTGTTAAGAGCTACTTTTAAATCTACTACAGTGGGTTGCACACATAACAAGTCATTAAACCGTCACACCCGTGACGCCCATGTCCACGTTCTGCCAGCTGTCCTGTTTAGAGGTCGTTATAGTGCTGTTTATATCTTCAATGTCAGTTTAAAGGCGAGGCTACTTTGTCCCCCCATTCTGTGATTGTATCTTTTAAAGGCGAGGTGAAGCTCCCGCCTTGACGAGGCAGTGTGAAAGGGGCTTGTGTGTCTTGCTTCTGTGTGAGAGAGGTGGATGGGACCTTTTGCATATCTGTGCCTGGGGGCGCATTGTCTTTTAATCTGCCCATGGACTCAAGGATATGACTATGAAAGTGATGAAACTATAAACTAAAGTGAAGCTCCTGATATAAACTCCTACTAAAGTTCAGAATTTATCTCCTAATGATATTGGTCTGTATAAGTGAACATGGCTGTGGTGTGTTTTTCTCTGACTGTGTGACTCAGGTCATGAGACTAAAGCCATGATGAACAACAGCGGGCCGAGGTATAAGCGCAGCCAGCTGGAGAAGCGTCTGAACACAGACATCCTGTGGTGTGTGCTGCTGCTTATCATCATGTGCCTGACAGCTGCTATAGGTGTGTACCAACTCCACTCTCACTTCACAACACAGCTGTGAACAGCAGCAGGATTATTGCAGCAGCAATATTTCTATTAAGACCAGTCCCCAGGAGGACAGTGACAAAAGCCAATGAATGCCCCAGAAGCACACAATTGAACCATGTCCAGATTTAACCTTTGATGTTTGATAGTGATGAGCTGCTCTGGTGTCTTGGTGTGTTTCAGGTCACGGCCTCTGGCTGAAGAACCTCAAAGATCCTATCTTTCTGGTTGATAAGGAGACATCTCCTGCCCTAGCTGGATTCTATGTCTTCTGGACAATGATCATTGTGTTGCAGGTACACAGTTAACCATTTGATTCCCAGGTCAAAACTTGCTTTTTTGCACTTTCCCATTAGATGCAATTAATAACTTTCCTTTTTTTTTTTCAGCATAACCGAAGACATTTGAAAATAAATAGAAAATAGATATAGATGCAGAATTTAGGTTCATGCATTTATTAGAATTCTGAAGTTTTTAAGTATGACAACTCATTACAGAGGAGTAATCCAACTAATCTTTGAAATCAGTGACATTTTTGGTGGAAATGTAAACAACAACATCAACAGAAAGTCAGCCTCCCGTGCTTTTACATGTCATCTCTTATACAGAAAAATGTCACCTCAGTCTCCAGCAGGAGGATTTTGTCTGTCTTTGACACTTGCACTACTGTCTCAGAAATAGATGGATCCTTATGATTTTTTTCCTGCTGTATCGAACTTGCACCAAACTGATTTCTAAATTGGGATAAAAACCAAATTGTGACTTCTGTGTGCTGTTTCAGCCCTTTTTAAGAAAATACAAATTTGTAAGAGACTGACAAAAATGTTAAGACTTAAAAAATGTTATTGCACTAAAAGGTGCGGTGAAAAATTTTGGATGCACTTAAATTATGTGCTGGTGTACCTGAATTAAGAAGATAGGCATACTTGTACAACCAATGTAAAAAGTTAAGGCCTTTCTTCACCAAGTCAAATTTACGTATGCATTTGAAAAAAAAATGTATGTATATATGCTCGAAACACCTCCCAAGGGAGGCGTCCGGAAGGCATCCTTACCAGATGCCCGAACCACCTCAACTGGCTCCTCTCGATGTGGAGGAGCAGAGGCTCTACTCCGAGTCCCTCCCGGATGTCTGAGCTCCCCACCCTATCCCTAAGGCTGAGCCCAGCCACCCTGCGGAGGAAACTCATTTCGGCCGCTTGTACTCGCGATCTCATTCTTTCGGTCACTACCCAGAGCTCGTGACCATAGGTGAGGGTTGGAACGTAGATTGACCGGTAAATTGAGAGCTTCGCTTTCTGGCTAAGTTCCCTCTTCACCACAACGGACCGGTTAAGCGCCTGCATCACTGCTGACGCCGCCCCAATCCGCCTGTCAATCTCCCGCTCCATCCTACCCTCACTCGTGAACAAGATCCCGAGATACTTAAACTCCTCCACCTGAGGAAGGACCTCCCCCCTGACCTGGAGTGGGCAATCCACCCTTTTCCGGCTGAGGACCATGGCCTCAGACTTGGAGGTGCTGATTCTCATCCCAGCCGCTTCACACTCGGCTGCGAACCGCCCCAGCGAGAGCTGGAGGTCACTGTTCGATGGAGCTAGGAGGACCACGTCATCCGCAAAAAGCAGGGACGAGATCCTCCCGTCACCGAACCTGACACCCTCCACCACTCGGCTGCGCCTAGAAATTCTGTCCATAAAAGTTATGAACAGAACCGGTGACAAAGGGCAGCCCTGGCGGAGTCCAACCCTCACCGGGAACAGGTCCGACTTACTGCCAGCCACGCGAACCAGACTCATGCTCCTTCGGTACAGGGACTGGATGGCCCTTAGCAAGGGGCCACCAACCCCATACTCCCGGAGCACCCCCCACAGGATGCCCCTGGGGACACGGTCGTAAGCCTTCTCCAAATCCACAAAACACATGTGGACTGGTTGGGCAAACTCCCATGCCCCCTCCAGCACCCTGGCGAGGGTAAAGAGCTGGTCCACGGTTCCGCGTCCGGGACGAAAACCACATTGCTCCTCCTCAATCTGAGGTTCAACTATCGACCGGACCCTCTTCTCCAGCACCCTGGAGTAGACCTTACCGGGTAGGCTGAGGAGTGTGATCCCCCTGTAGTTGGAACACACCCTCTGGTCCCCTTTCTTGAAAATGGGGACCACCACCCCGGTCTGCCACTCCAGAGGCACTGCCCCCGATGTCCACGCAATGTTGCAGAGGCGTGTCAGCCAGGACAGCCCTACAACATCCAGAGCCTTGAGATATCCAGGACGAATCTCATCCACCCCCGGGGCTCCGCCGCCTCGGAGTTGTTTCACTACCTCAGCAACTTCTGCCCCAGAAATTGGACGACCCGCCCCCGAGACCCCCGTCTCTGTTTCCTCACTGGAATACGTGTTGGTGGGATTGAGGAGCTCCTCAAAGTATTCCTTCCACCGCCCGACAATGTCCCCAGTTGACGTCAGCAGCTCCCCGCCCCCACTGTAAACAGTGTGAGCAAGTTGCCGCCTTCCCCCCCTGAGGCGCCGGACGGTTTGCCAGAACCTCTTTGGAGCCGATCGATAATCTTCCTCCATGGCCTCACCGAACTCCTCCCACGCCCGAGTTTTTGCCTCAACGACTGCCGCCGCTGCGCTCCGCTTGGCCCGCCGGTACCCGTCAGCTGCTTCCGGAGACCCACAGACCAACCATGCCCTGTAGGCCTCCTTCTTCAGCCTGACGGCTCCCCTCACCTCTGGTGTCCACCAGCGGGTTCGGGGATTACCGCCGCGACTGGCCCCAGCGGCCTTGCGGCCACAGCTCGCAACTGCCGCCTCGACAATGGCAGAGCGGAACAAGGCCCATTCGGACTCAATGTCCCCCTCTGCCCTCGGGACGCGGTCGAAGCTCTCCCGGAGGTGGGAGTTGAAGATCATCTGGACAGGTTCTTCCGCCAGGCGTTCCCAGCAGACCCTCACTGTTCGTTTGGGCCTGCCAGGTCTGCGCGGCGTCTTCCCCCACCATCTGATCCAACTCACCACCAGGTGGTGATCAGTTGACAGCTCTGCTCCTCTCTTCACCCGAGTGTCCAGAACATATGGCCGCAGGTCAAATGATACGACTACAAAGTCGATCATTGACCTGCGACCTAGGCTGTCCTGGTGCCACGTGCACCGATGGACATCCTTATGTTTGAACATGGTGTTAGTTATGGCCAAACTGCGACCCGCACAGAAGTCCAATAACTGAACACCACTCGGGTTCAGATCGGGCAGGCCGTTCCTCCCAATCACGCCCCTCCAGGTCCCGCTGTCATTGCCCACGTGAGCGTTGAAGTCCCCCAGCAGAACAATGGAGTCCCCGGTCGGGGCACTGTCCAGCACCCGTCCCAGGGACTCCAAAAAGGGTGGGTACTCTGAACTGTTGTTCGGTGCATAAGTACGGACAATAGTCAGGACCCGTTCCCCGACCTGAAGGCGCAGGGAAGCAACCCTTTTGTCTACCGGGGTAAACCCCAACGTACAGGCAGAGAGTCTGGGGGCTATCAGAAAGCCCACCCCGGCCCTCCGCCTCTCACCCGGAGCAACTCCAGCGAAGGAGAGAGTCCAACCCCTCTCAAGGACTAGGGTTCCAGAGCCGGAACTATGTGTCGAGGTGAGGCCGACTATATCTAGCCGGTAGCGCTCAACCTCTTCCACAAGCTCCGGCTCCTTCCCCGCCAGAGAGGTGACATTCCATGTCCCAAGAGCCAACTTCTGTAACCGAGGATCGGACTGCCAAGGCCCCCGCCTTGGTCTGCTGCCCAATCTACATTGCACCGAACCCTTCTGGATCCCTCTGCGGGTGGTGGGCCTGCAGGGGGACGAGCCCATGTAGCCGGTTCGGGCTGGGCCCGGCCGGACCCCATGGGCGAAGGCCCGACCACCAGGCGCTCGCCCACGGGCCCCAACCCCAGGCCTGGCTCCAGGGCGGGGCCCCGGTAACCCTCCGGGCCGGGTACACGTGTCCTTGTTTGTATCCATCATGAAGGGTCTTTTGAACCGTTCTTCGTCTGACCCTTCGCCCAGAACCAATCTGCCATGGGAAACCCTACTAGGGGCAAAATGCCCCCGACAGCATAGCTCCCAGGGTCATTAGGTCACTCAAACTCCTCCACCATATATATATATATATATATGAGAAAAAAGCTACACACAGAAACCTTGCACACTGACTCCAATGCATTTTATTGTTCTGTTCATACTGTGGCTAAATGTGCAGTCAGTCCACATTCTGCTCCTCGTCATCATTATCCATCTGAATAATAGTATAGTAAGGTAGTCTGAGATATGACATGATAGTGTGTGCCCTGTTCCTCTCTTTAGTTGCAGATGTATGTCTCTCTCTCAGGCCACATTTTATATGCTGCTTCTTGGCCAAACGACTCCTCTAAGTTGTTTGAAGGATGTGCAGAAACACAGAAAATCTAACCTATTCTGAAGATTTGAATGAGGGACGAAAGTTTCAAAGTTAGTGTGGAAATATGATTGACACAACATGAGGTCGTATTTATGTTTAAATGTATGACAACTTCGCATGAAAAATACTGACTTCATGTGATATGGCCTTTAATCTGGAGCTGAGCAAGCAGCTAGCAATCTACCAATCATTGTAACATCATTCAGATGCACAATAGTGTGGCTAACCTTGACAATAAATGTAACCAAAGATTAAGTCTGTATGCCAATGAATGCCAATAACTGCAGTTAGTTTGAGGTAGATGTGAGTCAACTAACATCTGGTTAAGGACGCGATTAGACTTTAATTATGGCAGCTATTATCTCATGATAAACAAGAACTAAAGCTGGCAACATAAAAGATTCATGAGAGGTCAGCTAATGCATTAAAATGTCAAGAAGATTCAGTTATTTCATCAACTTACCACTGAGTGCTCTTGGGAAACACTGACAGTAAATGATGAAACTATCCATAGTGTGGGACTGATGGTTGCTCCACAACAGGCGTGATGTCCATTGTTTCCTACTACAACAGAAGTCAGTGGGAGTGTCGTAACTCTCTCTTTCAGTGGCATTGGGTTCAACTGTCCTGTGCAAGCGTCTCCACTGCATCACCACTGTGGTCTCATTGAAATGAATGAGTGGGCTGTGTTGTTCAGTCTGAATCAGTTTGGCACAGGTTATCTTCTGGATATCTAGGTTCCATAAAACTTGTGTGGTTACATAAAACCTTTACTATACCTGTTAATTCCAAGTAGGTTGTTATCTTATCCCTGAATGCAACATGCATGTAATCAATTTTTGTCCAACAGGTGCTGATCCCCATTTCTCTGTACGTGTCCATTGAGATTGTGAAACTGGGCCAGATTTACTTTATCAACAATGACTTAGCCCTCTACAACAAGCAGCTGGACTCCAGGATTCAGTGTCGGGCCCTTAACATCACTGAAGACCTGGGTCAGATCCAGTACCTGTTCTCTGATAAGACAGGAACTCTGACAGAGAACAAGATGGTGTTCCGCCGCTGCAGTATCTTTGGAGTTGAATATCCTCATGAGGAAAATGGTAAGAAACAATACTATGACACCCTAGAATGCTCTGACTTTCTTTTACCATTTTTAGGAACACACTTTCACAGTAGTGGGGAGTTCTAGCAGGAACAATGAGAGGTTTTTTAATAGAAACAAATTTGGGTGGTGGGCGGCCGGAAAGACAGGCTGTGTTAGCTTTTATCACTGCAGTGTGTGCAGGCAGGAGATACTGGCTGGTGCGGGCATATTTTAATGAATAAGTTTAAATAAACCCAGTCAGTTTTTTTGTTTACTTGACTCTACTGTTTTGCTGACATTAGTGTGCGCTGATGTTGCAAAGCTGCTCTCTTTTAAAGCAGCCAGAGTCTACAAAGTAGCATTACTCTGCATATTTGATTGGAAATGTCAGTATGTAAAAGTGAAAAATTATTGGGTTGCCCTGGTGCAAGAGTTCTAGCACAGAGACTGGCAAAATGCATGAATTTTAATTGCAAATCTCCATACATGAAATAGGCAGGCAGCAGCTTCTCATTTTATGCCTCCATGCTGGCGAAGCCATGTTCTGTGGTTGTCTGTTTGTCTGTCCCATGCTTGTAAACACAATATCTCAAAAACACCTCAAGGGAATCTCTTTGAATTTGGCATAAATGTCCACGTTGACTCAACCATGAACTGAGTAGTTTTTGATGATCATAGATCAAAGGTCAAGGTCATTGTGACCTTGCATCCATCTCATTCTTGTGAACGCAATATCTCAAGAACAGCTTCAGTTTCTTCAAATTTGGCACAAATGTCCACTTCACATCCACAAATGTCTACTTGGACTCAATAATGAACTCATTAGATTTTGGTGGTCAAAGGTCAAGATCACTGTGACCTTGTCTGTCTCATGGTTGTGAATGCAATATCACAAGAATGCCTTAATGGAATTTCTTTAAATTTGACACAAACCTCCACTTGGACTGAAGAATTTTGTGGTCAAAGGTCAAGGTCAGTGTGACCTCACAAAACATGCTTTTGGACAAATTTATATGCTAATCATGACACACTTTCACATAGATGTCTAATAGTATAAAATAATAAGGTGATGACATTTTGTATCCAAAAGGTCAAAGGTCAACTTCACTGTGGCATCATAATGTTCTGCAAAACACTTCTCTGACCATTACTCAATGTCATACCTCAGGAACAGAAGGGGAGACATTTGGTCAACCCCATTTGCACTGAGGCATACAACCATGGTGCAATTCTAGTTTTTTTTATAAAGTTGGGGGAAAAACCCAACTTCATTTCCTCACATGTCACCAGCATAAACAGATGCACACTGACGTTGCAGCTGTAGGGACCAAGGAGTAATCAGTAGTCAGCAGCAGGGGTCCTAGCGCGTCCCCCATCAGCACACATGTGCAGGCGCATAGAGTTGCATTCACAAATGCCATCTGCTATTTGCATCAGCATTTATAAATGCCAGCTGGTGCTGTAAAACTATATTAAAAGTGCAAGTTAAAAACTCACACTAACATCACATTAAGTGGTACTGGTACCGTGTGCAATGACAGTGAAGTAAGATGTATTCTCAGCCTAATCTAATAGTTGGACTGTAAGTAACTGATTTTAACACTCTTCTGCCCTGTACTGTAAAAGGCTCTGTGTGTATGTTACTGTGTGTCAGGTCGGAGGCTGGAGGTGTACGAAGCAGAGAAAAGTGAGGCGGCCGGTCGCTCTGTGACTCTGAAGTCGGGCTGCAGCGGTAAATCTCTTAGCTGTCGCTCTCTCAGCTGCAAACACAGCTCAGTATCTCTGCACACACTCACCGCTGAGTCGGAGGAGGAGGAAGAACATCTGTCCAGTCACACGCAGCCCAGGACCAGTGCCTTCTGCAGCCGCGTGGTCAGACTCACACACACACACACACACACACACACGCACAAACACCACAGACACAGTATTTGTTTACTCACCTATTTGGTTCATATCTACAATTGAGAATCTGTTGCAGCTGATTTTCACACTGTAGTCAAATAAATGATAACCAGTCACTGCCTGGGAAGTGTTTGTTGTAAATAAGTACTGGGAATGTATAGATACTTATTCTTAATATTAAAAATAACAATAAAGTCACAAGATGAACAAGACAAAAATGACATGAAAGTCACATTTAAAAGAATATATCCTGGTGTAAAATTAGCAGGCAAGCTGTATTTTCTCCACATTATTTCTCCACTTTTTTGTAACATATTCTGAACTGTCCTCATCACATCTGGTTCACTAATCAGAAAACACAACAACTCGCTCACAAATGATGGGTTGAATGTACACTGTATGTGATTTGTTGAATTAAAACATGCAGACACACTGAGTGTGGTCCTTTTAAATGTAATCATTGATAGCATTTGGTTTAGCTTTAAAGGTCCAGTGTGTAGGATTTAGGGGGATAGACTGGCAGAAATTGAATAAAATATAATTAATGTTTTCTTTAATGTATAATCATCTGAAAATAAGAATTGTTTTGTTTTCATTAACTAAGAATGAGTCGTTTATATCCACATAGGGAGCAGATGTTAATGGTTGGCAGTTAAAGGGTCACTCCACCAATTTTATAATTAGTAAGTGGACCAGTGATAGTTATTTCTCAGCCAAAGCTATTGTTGATAATGTCATCAGGGTTATCTCATCCTATATCTGAGATATGGAGATTGGAAAATGTGGCTGTTCATGAAACAGGGAGTCAAACATTGTGTCTTGCATTGTGGGAAATGTAGGACCCAGTGTTTTTGGAGCTTGAGCCACGCTAGTGACTAAAAGTCAGGATGTATTGCCCTTTGCACTTCACACAGGAAAGCAGGTTGCTGTAAGAAATCAGATTATGCATTAAATAATGTGTTTACACAGACTATAGTAACCTGTCAATGTAAAATACACACAGCAGATCAGAAATCAGATCTAGCCCCTACCCCTAACCTAATAAATCAAATTTTATTTTTCCCTGGGTTTATTTTGGGTACTTTTTCTGGGATATTTTTCTGAAATCCACAATGTGTTCATGCTCCAGCCTTGATGGATAAGCTCCTGCTGCTTCTGTGTCTTTCTGTCCAGGCGAGGGAAGTGATGCCGGACCCCGAGTTGGTGAGGAAGTTGAATTGGCTTTGCTCTCCTGTGCTGGCTCTGAGTGACGGCTCCTCTGGGACTTCATCCAGCCTGGAGCTCACCTACATCACTGACTTCTTCCTTGCTCTGGCCATCTGCAATAGCGTGGTGGTCTCCTCACCCAGCCAGCCTCGACACGTGGTGAGTAGATGACATCTGGGAATTTCCCAATGGCAGCATCCCAAGCTGAAATGCAACTAGCGTCAAGAAATGCAGCATCCCCCTCACTAATGGTTCAATCTATAAACCAATAATGACAATTACCAACATGAAGTGCCATGCTCTGAACAAACACATTACAAACACTAACAAGAAGTAATGTTTGAATTGGAACATAAAACAGCAAACTTCAGCAGTTTGTTAGTACAATCTAGTGGAGAAATAGGCATGGTGGGAAATGTGGGCCATTGCTACAATATCATTGTACATTCTCCTTCTTTGTGTTTTTTATTTACTTCTTAATTATATTTCATTACATATTTTGGGGGATGAATTTGTGGTTTGGAGTAAGTATGATTTCTTTATGGTGATAGAGGTTAGCTGACATGCATCAAGGGTCCTCATGTAAAACTAGACCAGAGAAACTGACATTACACTTACAATACCCTTACTCTGTGTTTTTTGGTCTGTCAGGTGGGGGACCTGAAACAGTTAGTGGTAACGTGACATGAATGCATCACAAGCCTTATCATAATCCACCAATCAATAACATTCCAACAAAAGCCACCTGTGTTCAAAGAAAGGGCCTGTTTCCCTTTTCAGTCCATAGTCCAGCCAGTAGCAATCAGCTGGTACAATGAGCAATGCCTCTTATAGCCAATGACATTGACAACTGAGACACATGCATTTTGGGCAGTTTCTTTTTTCAGCAAGTGTTTTTTTATATACAGTAAAGTCCTAAACAGAAATTTCTGTCTTGACCGATGTTTTTTCACCCTTGATCACATGTTTGAGATGAGACAAAGTAAGTTTTTTTCTTTTTTAAGAAACTAGATGACACGTCATTGAAAATCGCTTAAAACTAGCACAATATTCCAATTAAAAGCAATGACTTGCTGATAAAAGCTGATCCCATGTTCTGTTTTCTCTTTCCTGCAGGTGCCTGAGGCACGAACACCTCTCAAGTCCCTGGAGGAAATCAAGCTGATGTTCCAGCGCCTCAGATTCTCTCCTTTCTCAGCCCTCTCCACCCTGTCTCCTCCCCTGATCAAAGGCAGCCCTCGCAGCTTCACCAGCAGGCTGTTTGCCCGGGGGAAGACCGGCTCCTTAACCTTCTCCACGCCCACTAACAGCACCACAGAGGGCTCAGAAGCAGGCCAAGAAAGCAACATGGAAAACTCCAACCTGAGGCGTAAACTGGAGTTACCTTCTGGAGTGGAAGGAGGAGATGTGGGACAGACAGAAGACAGGGAGACAATGGACGATATCAGGAATACAAAGGCAAACCCTGGCGGGTCCAGGCAGGATGTGGAGGACATTATAAGAGAAGTAGACAGTGAGAGCGACACTGACGACGAACTTCTGTATGAGGCAGAGAGTCCAGATGAGGCAGCTCTGGTCCATGCAGCCCATGCGTACCACTGCACCCTGAGGGGACGTTCTGCAGAGAGCCTGCTGGTGGATCTGCCAGGACTTGGCTCTCTCACTGTCCAGCTCCTACACATCCTGCCCTTTGACTCTAACAGGAAGAAGATGTCAGTGGTGGTCCGCCACCCACTCACAGGACAGGTGGTAGTTTATACCAAGGGTGCTGACTCTGCCATCATGGATCTGACTGAGACACCTAAAGGTACTTAACAGAAGGAATATGGACGAAAAAATACAAAGACACCTCTGAAGAATTTTGTCTTTGCCTGGCTGATCTAAAGCACTGTTTGTCTTTATTATTTTCATTCTGTTACACTCAGGTGCAACGCAAGCTCAGGAAATCTACAGTCACATCAGAGAGCAAACCCAAAAACATTTAGACAGCTACGCCAGAGAAGGCCTCCGCACACTCTGCATCGCTAAAAAGGTAACGCTTCAGGAAGCTGAAATACAATAGCTTTGTACATCACACATCTTTTACTATCATGAAGCCCTGTGGCTCCAAACACAAGTAAAGCTCATTGAAGCAATCGCACTTCAACTTCATTTGAGTGTGAAACACTGACAAGTACAGGCTAAATCCCAACCCTTGCCCAGTGGTGTACTGGTAGTTGATGAGGTGGGGGTACTGTTATGTAGATGGGTAGGTTACAGAGGAAGAAGTGGGTATGCTCTCCAATATATTCTAATAGCTTTTTGGCTGATAGGTGGGAAAACTGTAAACAGCCAGAAAAAGTACCTGCGTATACCCTCCACTACACCACTGCCTTTGCCCCTACCATTTACCCCTTCATTTTGTGCATTCATGCCTAGGGTTAGGGTGTCCCGATTCCTGTGTTCCTCAGTGACTGTGTGTTCTGTGTGTGGAGCAGGTCCTAGAGGAGGAGGAGTATGAGGTGTGGCTGAAGAGACAGCTGCTGGCAGAGAGCAGCATAGAGAACAGAGAAGAGCTGCTGCTGGAGTCAGCTGAGAGACTGGAGACCAACCTCACCCTGCTGGGTAGGAGAGCTTCTCACTGCAGCTGACATCAGAGATGGGAACAGCAGTGCTCAAAGTCCTTTGTCTCTGTATGTGTGTGTGTTCAGGCACCACAGGGATCGTAGACAGACTGCAGGAGGAGGTCCCAGAGACCATTGAAGCTCTTCAGAAGGCTGGCATCAAAGTATGGATCCTCACAGGAGACAAAAAAGAGACCGCCATCAACATCGCCTATGCCTGCAAACTGCTTTGTCCAGATGATCGGCTGCTGACAGCCAACTGTGGAAGCAGGGTCAGTGACTGAGAGATTGTAGCACTGTTGTAGGGTCATTTAGAAGAGTTGAAATGTCTTCATTGTATCTTATGTTGTTTTTTTCTTGCTTTGTCTTTTTACCTCTCGTCCTCTCAGGTTATTTATCCAGATCCCTGGCTAGTGTTTATTTGGTTTATTGTCATCCTCTGCAAATCACAAGATGCAATATATTTGTATCTTTCATACATATCAACGTTTCTGAAGTGACATAGTGTATGAGCTGACTTTGTCATCCAGACGTGGAGGGCATGGTGGATGGTGTGACATCTAGGCAAGACACTTCCCAAGCTGCCACAGTTCAAGACCAACAAAGAGCAGTTGTTTTTCATTGAGCCATGGCTGCATTTCCAGCCGTGAAGGAGGCACCAAAACCTCCCGTGGCTCTCTGCCAGTACTCCACTATATCTTTACATAGCAAATAGTGGTTTGCTGCTATATCAGTGTTCTGAATGTTGCACACAGAACCATTAAGCCAAACATGATCTTTTCCTAATCTTAACCATATGGTTTTTGTGCTTACACCTAACACACGTTAATCACAGCAAATGTAAAGAAATGTAAGACGTCATCATCTGCTGCATAGTAACATACAAATGTTAGATATCTGTGGTTTGCAGACATGTACAGTGCCAACATTTATTGTGGTGATTGGGTTGGTGTGACATGATCATGCTGTTAGAAGAAAGGTGTCTTGCTACCCAACTGCTGGCTAAAATGAAAGAGGTTAGCCTCGAAGTGAGTGTCAACTTTGGCCCTGGGGGCAAAAAGTTATGCAGCGGTAAATATTTTTTTCAGATTCATTGTTGTCCCAGGCTAAATATTCCTTGAATGAAATGAAATTTATTGATAGTATGTCTTCAAACCAAGACACTTCAGGTACTTCATTAGCGTTAGGTTTGGATGCACAGGGGTGGCGTGTCAATTTCCACTTGTTACATGCATAGGGTCTTTTCAAAATAAACTTCCATGCTGTCAGGAAGCCTAGGTTTCATCTACTTTAGATTTAGGCAACATAACTACTTTGTTAGGTTTAGAATGAAGACCATGGTGTGACTTAAAACAAGTACCTTCAAAAAAAGGCACCCCTGAAAGCCATGGTGTGATTCAAACACTGGTCAGGGGTCTGTAAAATAATGAGGACTTAACCTCCCGGGGCTTTGTGTGTCTATACCAAATTTATCGCAATTTACCCATATCTTTTCCAAAATATTTACCACAGCTATAGCTATCTTCAGGCCTAGCTGCTTGAAGGATAAAACTGTGAAACCAAACAAAAAACAACAAAAAACGAACTAATAATTGTGATAAATCAATGACTAAATGCACTGTAACTCTTATGGACAGTACTTATGGATTTCTTTCACTCATCAGGATGCGTGTGCAGCTATACTTGAGGAGCTCAAACTGGAAGTGCAGCGGGGTGAGAACAGTTTGACTGAACTGACTGCAGCAGGGAATCCTCATGGGGAATCCTCCTCCAGCAGTGTGGGAGGCTTCATCCTAGTTATAGATGGCCGGACGCTGGACTGGGCCCTGCAGGAGGAGCTGAAGAGCGACTTCCTGGAGCTGAGCTGTAGATGCAAGGCAGTCATCTGCTGCAGGTCCACTCCGCTGCAGAAGAGCCAGGTGGTCAGGCTGATCCGGGACCAGCTTGGCGTCATGACCCTGGCTGTGGGTAAGGACTCAGACCGCAGCAAAACTGCTGGGAAATTTTACATATGTCCCTTGTCAACAAGCAATTATTTTAAGTGTATCTTTTTATCCTTTATTTTTGTTAGCATGTAATCTCATTTATGTCCTTAAAGTAACCTTGAGGTGTAAGCCTGAGTTGGATTACATAGAGGGAAAAGTTATTGTTCACTTTGTTATATTGACCTTCTAATAACTGAAGGACAAAAAAAGAAAAAAGAAATGTATGGGGTGGACGATATGGATAAACTCCTTTATTATGTGATGTGCTTTGTACATACCTAAACATGGAGGACAATGACAAGTTGTTTTTGTTCATTTAGGTGATGGAGCCAATGATGTGAGCATGATTCAGGTGGCTGATGTGGGCATCGGGATATCTGGTCAGGAGGGCATGCAGGTAATCACCATTAGATTTATCTTGACACCACACCTACCAATATTTAACACAGTCTCACAGTACTACGTGAAATGAAACACATACATGTAAAATATGAAATGTGTTAGAATTATGTGCTGGCAACATGAAAACAATGCCAATGCAAAGTCTACTACAAACAGTCGCAGTTTGAAACACATCATTAATGTGGTTGACATTGGGTTAGGTTTAGGAAAATAACTAGAATTCAGTCTTGTGGTTGTATGCCTCTGCAAACCCTCCAAGTTGCACCCTCAGTTTGCATCCATGTCCATGAAAACATGGATGCTTCACACACATCTTCCCTCGGCAGCACAGAAGATCTATACAATCAGCTCAGTTTCAAGGAGGGCACCCAAGATGAGTGTCACCAATTTAGTATCTGAGCAAATGTTTCCTCTTCTGTTCCTGAGTTATGAAGTTGAGTAATGGCCAGAAAATGTTTTTGCAGAACTTTATGATGTCACATTTAAGTTGACCTTTGGACATAAAGACACATAATTTTATCCGATTAGAAATTCATGTTAAATTTTGTCAGAATTAGAGTATGAGTTCTTGAATTATGGTCACAGTGACCTTGACCTTTGACTACCAAATTCTAAAAAGTTCATTGTTGAGTCCAGGTGGACATTTGTGCCAAATTTGAAATTCCCTCAAGGTATTCCTGAGATATCGCGTTCATAAGAATGCGATAGACAGGGTCACATTGACCTTGACCTTTGACCACCAAATTCTTATCAGTTTATCCTTGACTCAGTGTAAACATTTGAACCAAATTTGAAGAAACTGCTTTAAGGTGTTCATAAGATATCACATTCAGGAGAATGAGACAGATGAGGTCACTGTGACCTTAACCTTTGACCCATGGCCACCAGTATCTAATCAGTTCATCATTGAGTCCACGTGGTACATTTAAAGAAATTCCCTTAAGGCGGGAAAAAAGAGGGACTGACGGATGCATTGACAACCCAAAAAAACCAATGCCTTCAGCCATGGTTGTCACTGATGTGGAGGCATACAAACACTTGGTTAGGTATAGACAACAAAACATACTTACGTAAGTTTAGGAAAAGATTGTGGTTTAAATGAAAATAACTACATATGAAACACAAAAATTTACTTACTTTGTAAATTCTTTACACGGGACATGAATAGCAGTCTCCTGGTAAGTCCATTTTTGTTTGACCCATCCACCACTCCTCCCACCTGCCCTACGCAGACTATCTCACTGTTAATACCTAATTTGTGTGTCCACTGCAACAAAAGATCGTCTCTGACGTTGCATTGGCAGTGTTTATTTGTTGAAAGCACGCAATTTTAACACATTTTGTGCCCATCACCACGTAAGGGTTTGTGTCGATTTCACATATTTCTACGAAATCAGGCTGCAAAATAACATACATGCGTACATGAAGGCGGTTTTTGTTAAGACACCTCATCTTATTCAGTCTCCACAGTGGAGACAGTCACAGAGCAAGGACTCATGTCTAGTTTGTAAGCTGCACATAATGCAAAAAATTTACATTAATTCTGTAAACTATTTACTATTTATCTCTGAAACTGGCAGACAGTAAATAATATATTTGTCTTTTTATCATTATTTGTTTCGGTCCCAGGCTGTGATGTCCAGTGACTTTGCGATATCCAGGTTTAAACACCTCAGTAGACTGCTGCTGGTCCATGGCCACTGGTGTTACTCTCGTCTTGCAAACATGATCCTCTACTTCATCTACAAGAATGTGGTAAGAGTTCACTGACTGTGTCTGTATATTTAAAATGTTTATAAAGTGCTGAAGTGGCAGTCTCAGAGATTTCACTGCTGGTTGATTTGGCGACACCTGTTGTTACTGATGGTAACAGCAAATGCAGTTTATTACTGCAGGTCTCAGAGTTCTGAGAGCAACAAAAAAAAGTATTGTCACCTTAATAAGAAGTCAAGCCAAAATAGTGTCCTCTCTACTCTGGTGTTTTGGAAGAGCTTTAAAAACACTGCTGATCTCATTTTGGTTTGAAAACTCTACAGTTGCATTTTAGTCTGGACAAAGAGAAAACGATGACACCCCAGATAGCTTCTCAGTTGGGTCTTATTACTCATAGTTTGTCAAGTCAAAACATTATAGCTAGGTCGTCATACCTTTTATAATTTTATCCTTTTCGTGTGGGTACTCCTTTCCAATTGCCATGGCTTCCTCTGGCAATTGACAATGCTCCCAGCTGGTGCCGCTCTAATATGTTGCCAAATTTGCTTTGCACGACTTCTAATCTGTTTTCCATCTCCTTGATCACCTTCTACTCAAGAATACTTTCAGTAGTCAGTTTCAGTTGTCAGACCATTTGCTCTTTTTTTCCCCGCCATTTCCGTAATATTTTGTGTAACTAAGCAACCAACCACAGAGCAGACAACCTACTTCCTGTTTACATGGGCACGCACATGCCCAGTATACGTGAATGGTCATGTGATATGTGTTTTTAGGCAAGATATGGATGGAAATTATCTGTCAACAAATGCTGAAAATGACTGTTGTCTTGTTTTGTAGACACATTTTTTGATAAACAATAGCAGCAAATAAGAAGTGCTCAATGCAAAACACACTGCGTTTCTTGTGACCCCTTCATAATAAAAGTCAACATTGGTTTTGCCAGTTAAATGTTTTTAATGCGAAGCTGCAGCAGTAGGAAATGTTCCGTTTCCATCAGTATTAACTACTTTAAGTTTAAGACAGTGGTTTTGGCACTCACCTTAGGTCTCCAATACGGAAAAGCACAAGAAATATTCATCTTAAGCAAATCTTTATGCCAAATTTAGCAACTAGCTCCTCTGCAGTCCCTGCAATTAAGAAAAACAAACAGAAAACAACCAGTCCAGATGTTAGGAGAATCCTCACTGCTGTCTGTGTGTCTGTCTGTGTCTGCAGATGTATGTGAATCTGCTGTTCTGGTATCAGTTCTTCTGTGGTTTCTCTGGGAGCGTCATGACCAACGCCTGGGTGCTCATCCTCTTCAACCTGCTCTTCACCTCCGTTCCTCCTCTCATCTATGGCGTCCTGGACCAGGACACGCCAGTAGACACTCTGATGGAGCTGCCTGAGCTCTACCAGGCTGCCCAGAGCTCTAAGGTGACTGCACACACACACACACACACACACACACACAGAGCATAGAGTCAGTGATACTAAAATCTGACTGCTGTTACGCGTGTTGACACTGTGTTTAGGAGGACTGACAAGTGAATCCTGTGTCTCTGCAGGTCTATGCTCCCTACATCTTCTGGATCACAGTCTTGGATGCTTTCTACCAAAGCCTTGTCTGCTTCTTCGTGCCTTACTTTGTGAGTACGCAGATCCTTCTGTTCTGTCAAATAGCTCCCTTTTATAACCCTCCAACTGACAGTTAGTAATAAACCCTGCTCATACAGTCCTGGTCTCATTTTGTGATGTTTTTCTCAGGCTTTTGCAGGATCCAGCATCAGTGAGCTATCCTTTGGCTCGCCAATCAACGCCTCAGCTCTCCTCATCATCCTGCTGCACCAAGTCATCGAGAGTCACACTCTGGTCAGACACACTGCCATAATAAAATCTGTTAAAACAGGATTTCTCTCCATATTTTTGCCATTGGAATAATTAATTGTGTGGCCTGTGTTATGCCAAAGAATTGAAGTTTGTTGTATGCAAAAATGTGATCAGAGTCCAGAGAATAACTGACATTAAAGGAATACCTCACCCCCATGTGATGATGTGTATATCAGTTACTCACCCCAAGTTACACTGAATTTGTTAAGAAATTTGTATTTCTCCCATATTTCCACGGTGAACGAAGAATCCAAAAAAATCTTGATGAATTGAAATCATTGGGGTCCATGTTTAACAACAGCAAAACTATATCAAAACATCTATTAACAAACTCTAACACAACTCATCTAGTATAATCCAAGTCTCATTTATCCAGTCATATGCTCAGTACTTCCAAAAAAGACAGTTCTTCCTGACGGAGAACTGAACTTAAACTTATTTACGCCCTCTTCAAAGCCAGACTCTAATTGACAATAGTGGTAATTTTACCTCACTGAACACAGGAGCTGCTGCTCCACCGCTGCCTCAATTATTTGTTTTCTTTGTTTGAATTTGTGACTTTGGTATCTTAAAGGGTTAGTTTGGATTCATGTAAGTCCATAATAATGCAAACAAACTACAGATAGAGGCAGCGGTAGAGCAGCAGCTCCTGTGTTCAGTGAGGTAAAATTACTGTTTTTGTCAATGGAGTCTGGCTTTTAAGGGGGCATAGTTTAGTTTCACTTCCAGTTCAGTTTTAAATAGGAAGGTTTTAGTGAAAATGCATGTGTTTGGAAAATACTGAGCATTTGACTGGATAAATGAGACTTGTATTATACTGCACGTGTTGTGTGAGAGTTTGTAAACAGATGTTTTGATATAGTTTTGCTGTTGACTTCAATTCATCAAGAATTTTCCCCATTTTTGGATTCTTCATTCACTGTGGAGGCATACGAGAAAAACAAAGTTTTCTTCATGTAAGGTGAGTGACTGATATGCAAATGGCCATTTGGGGGGCGAAGTATTCCTTTCAGACTGTGTCTCCAGGTATGTTATGGAGTCTCTAAACTTCTGTGTTATTTTGCAGACGTGGATTCATATGCTGGTGTTGGTGCTTAGTGGTGTTTCCTACTTTGGCTTCGTGCTGCTCTTCAGTGTGTTCTGTGTGACCTGCAGCCCCCCCACCAACCCTTTGGGGGTGGAAACACTCGAGATGTCCCAGCCTCTTTTCTACATCGTGTGTGCTCTCACTACAGTGATGGCTCTGTTACCCAGGTACACAAAATAAGATGTGTCACCCGCCATCACAAGGAACTCTATCTTCACTGAAACTGCAGAAAGCTAGCTAGTGGCTAGAAATATATACGTTTCTTTAACTGCATTGCATTTACTTTACAAATTTCAGCTTTTATTCCAAGTGCATTCCACAATAATACATAAAAGCTTTTTTACTTCTGGTGCCAAATTCTCAGTCAAGTGAAAATATCCAGTGTAAAAAACCAAGTAGTTTTCTGTGGGTTGTTGAACGTGCCACTCTCCCTGAGGTCATCATTTCCTGATCCATCACACTGTCTTCCTGTGTGTTCTCCTCTGCAGGCTGTTGTTTCGAGCTCTGTACAACTCCTTACACCCCTCTGCTGTTCTGAAGTCGGCTCACATGGACAAAGCAGATTCAGAGAAGTACCACAAGAGAATGCAGCGCTGGAACCTGAGCCAGTCTAGAGTCAACAGGCTGCCTGTGTGTGCTGACAACCCCGGCCTGGAGCCCAGCACAGCCTCAGTGGTGTCCTGATGTTCCTCTACACACACACACACACACACACACACACACATACACAGGCAAAGTGCTGCATACCCCTGGAGCAGTCAGACTCGTGACGTGGCCAGGGAAACAATGGCCTGACAGTTCTAAGACGGTTGATGTTGACATGCTGGATTCAAATGGCTATCGGTGGTACTGTAAAAGGCCATGTATGGATGTTGCACTACTCCACTGCTCAGCTGTTTCTGAGCTCTGCTGAAAGACTGCACTTTTTGCTACATATCATCAGCCAAAGAGTCTGATTCACTGTAAGCAAAAGCATGTTTTGATACGGCATGTTCTTCTCACTGAGTGAATCAGAATGATGAGTATCTGTTTAATATCTCATCAGACTTTTACAGGAACAGAAGCTGTGAAACATGACCATCATGTCAAATATGCAGAGACATTAATATTTTTAGGAGCTGTATGCATCATTCAAACACCAGGAAATCATCAGCTTATTAATCCTCTGACATCCATCATGAAGGAATGACAGCAGTCTCTACTGGTCATCAGTGTGTACTACAGTTAACACTGAGGGCAAACACACTGGACTGATAGGCTGCATTCACACTGCAGGGCAAAGAGACCAAATTAGATTTTATTTCCTAGGGTTTGTTGTTTGTTTGATATTCATCATGATACTGTAGTGCTCACTACATGCATGTTAGATGAAATTGGTCAAACCGCAGTTTCGTTGGTTAACTTTCAGAAGAGCACGAGTGTCACAGTTGTAATGTGAGTTATTTTATGGGCCAAAAAATCTGAAATTTGCATCACAGCTGTAACAAATGATTTATGTGTATTTATTTATTTTTTGAAAGGCAGCAGACACAGAAACACAGCTGACATGTTGAAGTGATATTGCAACTGCAAAATGACCATTTGTATATCAGTTACTCACTGTGTGTAACGTTGGATTTGTGAAGAAAGCTTTGTTTTTCTTGCATGCCTCCATGGATAAAACCAAAAAAGGCAAACATTCTTCATGAATTAAGTAAACCGGGTCTGCATTTAACAACAGCAAAGCCATATCAAAACATCTGTTTACAAACTCTCCCAAAACTCATACAGTATAATGCAAGTCTTCTTCATCCCGCTATATGGTTAGTACTTTTCAAACACATCCTGAACTGATAGTAAAACTTATGTATGCTCTCTTCAATGCCATACTCCATTAACAAAAACAGTAACTTTACCATGCTGAACATGAGAACTGTGTCTACAACTGCCTCAATCAGTTAGTTTGTTTGTGTTACTGTGTGACTTTGGTGAATACAAACTAATCATTTAAGACACCAAAGTCACACAATGACAAAAAACAAAGTGACTGATTGAGGCAGCGGTAGAGCAGCAGCTCCTGTGTTCAGCGAGGTAAAATTACTGTTTTTGTTAGTGGAGTCTTGCTTTGAACAGAGCATAGATAAGTTTCCCTTTTAGTTAAGTTTTAAATAGGAATTTTGTGTTTGGGAAGTACTGAGTGGATATATGACTGGATAAATGAGACTTGGATTATACTGCACGAGTTATGCAGGAGTTTGTAACGAGCTGTTTTGGTGTAGTTTTGCTGTTATTAAATGCAGTTTACTTCAATTCATGAAGAACGCTTGTCTTTTTTTGATTCTCCATTCACAGTGGAGGCATGCGAGAAAAAAGGTTTTCTTCACAAATTCAACAAAACAGGGTGAGTAATTGAAGTACACATGCTCATTTTGGAGGTGAAGTATTCCTTTAACAAACAACTACTTACAGAACAAGGATTCACAGAGCAGCATTAGCATCCCATTAGAGTGGTGTTTGTGTCCACCTGATGAATGTAAGTCTAATCTTCAGTCTTATTGTTGCTCTGGTTTGGTCCTCACCAAACGGTTGATCCATGAGCAGAAACAAGTTACTACTGTATCTACTGTGTTAACATCAAACATGCTGCTTTACTCAACTGAAAGAAACATTGCAGTGTGGATGAAGCCCAACAAATTGTGTTTATTTATTTGCAGTTCTCGTGTTGCTGTATTCAAATTCCCTTCAATAAGTTTCTATCTAAACATGGAAGACATGACGGTTCTACATCATGGGATAGAGACTTTGCACCAGCTGCACCAACAAGGATTAAACATAGATCACGTTCAATCAAGATGTAAAGGTGATTGTTTTTTGTAGTATTCATATTTTAATCCATGACTAAATCAAATCAAATTAAAGATTGGTTTGTTCTTTTCTTTGCTACGTTTTAAATTTCACGAGGTTGCAACAAATGCACAGTGATTGATGATTTAAGGGCAGGGTCAGTGACGCTGTGTTGTTGCTGTGACTGCAAATCATGTTTACTTTACATTTTCACACACTGTTGTCAAATGTATCCTGTACAGTTTTACATTGTTGGAGGTATTGGTGCTATTGTTCATGGGTTTCCATTTAATCCTGTAAAATATAAAAATCAGTTGGAGTTGTGCAGTCCGTCACAGTGAAGATTAGCTTACATTACCCTAAGATAGTAATGCAGTTTAAGCACTGATTAATTTGAAAAGCATTACCTCTTACCGATTGTGCAACAATGAATTGAGACTTGATGTGGACTGTGATGGATTGCAGCACAGAAACATCTGCCAGTTGATGTTTATGTTGTATGAAATGGAGTGGGAACTGATGGATGGGGAAAAAATCTGAATGATTAAGACTGACTTGGTCTAATGCAGAACCACTGTATGACTCTTAAGTGTCAATTTGGTGTTTAGTGGCAACGCCTAGCATGGTAGGTCCACTGCCATCAGTGGGTGAAAGAGAGTCTGTAAAGAAGAGGAAATCGTGAAGCACTTTATCTGCTGTAGTGGAAAAGGCACGCTGACTTTATTATCTTTATCGCCTTAAACTAGGGCTCTGCCGTATATCTTGTTTTTGCCTCTGCACTGGCAACAGCTGCAGCCGAAGGCTTCATGTTTTTGGCTTGTCTGTCCGTCCTAACATACATCTGTCCATCCATCCTCGGGGGAATTTCTTCAGCTTTGGCACAAATGTCCTCTTGGTATGTACAGCAGGCGTCCCAAATGTGAAGGCAGTGCTCTTGCCGCAGCGGCCGCAGATTCAATTCCAGCCTGTAGTCCATTGCTGCATGACCCTCCACTTTTGGTGGTCAAAAGTCAAGGTCACTATGACCTTGCACTCATCTCATTCTTATGAATGCAATATCTTAAGAACACCTTTAGAGAATTTTAAAAAATTTGGCACAAACGCCCACTTCAGGGATGAATTCACTAAAGTTCGGGGGTTGAAGGTCAAAGGTCAAGGTCACTATGGCTTCACACAATATGTTTATGGCCATAATGCAGGAACTCATACTAATTAAGACAAAATTTCACAGTGTCAAAGGTCAACATCACTGTGACATCATAATGTTCTGCAAAAACACTTAGCTGGCAATTTCTCAGTGTCACATCTCAGGAACTGAGGGGGAGACATCTGGTCAGATTGGTGACACTAATCTTGGGTGCCCACCTTGAAAACTGCTGAATTCTAGTTTTACATTCAAAGCTTCTATTGAAGTTCTTGAAAGATGCTTCAAATGTCTGTCGTCACATTTTATAACGTCTTCATCATTCAAAAAAATTCTCAAAGAAAAACCCTCAGTTTGAAAAAAGTAATTAATCCAGTCAAATAAGTTAGTCTTTTTTTTTAATCAAATCAAATGTCTTTAATGAATGACTGTAATTTATTGTGCTGTTAGGCTGCACTGTTAATACAGGTGTGTCCCTCCCTTTGTGTGTGAGTGTTTTGACCGCAGTGAAAGCGTTGTTTTCAAAAGGCTGAACCACAACAAATGTGGATTGAAGCAAAATGTTTTTTCGATAAAAACATCAGTGAATTTTGGAAATTGCTAAATACATTTTGACTTTTGGACCTGGACAACGCTCTGTAGAATTAGATTCCAGTGGTGGCTGTGTAGGATTGTTTCTGACTCATGATCCAAACATTTCCAAAAATTTCATCTAGTTTAATACTTGATAATAATATTAGTGGTGCCTAATCTTTATCTGCAACTGTGTAGAATTACCAGGTTTAGACAGATGAATAGAAATGCAAAGAAACCCTGAAAAACATTTGCATGTCAACATTCTAAATAAAGCTTCAAACTGTTTAGTACAGCCCTACCTTTACCACATCTGTCCCTGGACGCTACTGTTTAGACAACAAATACATGTTTATGTTCATGATTCAAGTCAAGTCCTTTTTAATTATGTAGCCCAATATCACACATTTGCTTCAGAGGGCCTTAAAATCGGTACAGGAAACCGCACCCTCTGCCCTTAGACCCTCGTGGTAATAATAGACAGCCCTGCGAGATTAGAGAAGTTTGATGTGGATTTGAATGAAATGCTGTAAAGACTCATTTTGATGTAAATACCATAATAACAACAATCACCCTCCCTAACGATATCAACAATGAACTCAGTGTGATGTAGTGGTTGTTGGTGCAGCCCATCATATGAACACTGGTTTTGCCAGTCAGGTTTAAAGTGAAGTGACCTTACTGCTTCTATGCATGTCTGCACGTTGATAGCAGTAAAGCAGGTGATAACACGAAGCCTTAAATTTGATGCAATACTTTGACATGTCAGACTTTCTGAAAAAGCCTTAATGACCAAAGTGCAGTCACTGATGAGGTTTTGTATATTGTGTAATAAGTCTGTTGTTTTTTTGGATGTGTGATACAAACTTCCAATGACTGTCTGTACTGTTTGAGATGATGCAATAAACAGATGTTCAGATCTTGCATAGTCTGTGCAGTGTTCGCTGAAATGACCTAAGATCTGTAAATACAGATCTCTTACAGCCAGCCATCATAGCTAGCTGTAAGAAACACATTTACAGAAAAACACATGCATCTCCACAAAATCAAGGGCGTCAGAATTACAGGAAATCATCCGGCATTAGACTTTCCATATGACCGAACAGGGAGAAAAACTGTGGCATTGTACGTTTTTTCTTTATGTTTCAGCAATGCTGGGAGTAATGTGTGGTTATGTTTGGGCACAAAAAGCCATTTGTTATGGTTAGGAAAAATCGTGTTTTGGCTTAAAGTACCACACTATCCCAGCAAGAAAGGCCACAATGTCTCTGTAAAACTACGATCGCTTTTTGTGCCACTAACCTCACTGGAACTATAGCAACGCACCGCTAAATTCACATTTAATATCACATGAAAAAAGTGTACATGTGATCAATTCACATAAAGAAGTGGAAGACATGTGACATACTGTATATTTAACATTTTAAATGTAAATTTCACATTGTGATTTTTGAATTTGAAGCTTTTTTAAATTAATAAATAACCAATAGGTTTCTTAATTGTATTCATGACAATGGGGAGAGGGCTTTGCAACAGTATTTGACCTTCATGTTGGGAAATAAAATATACAAAAACTTGAAAAGAGTCTGCTGGAGTGTTTACCACATTGGACAATACAGCTAGCACCCAATCACAACTCCCTTGGATAATTAATTGTAAATTGTATGATACATTTATGAAGTTTGTTCCAAACTGATTTTTACATACAGTACAGGCCAAAAGTTTGGACACACCTTCTCATTCAATGCGTTTTCTTTATTTTCATGACTATTTACATTGTAGATTCTCACTGAAGGCATCAAAACTATGAATGAACACATGTGGAGTTATGTACTTAACAAAAAAAGGTGAAATAACTGAAAACATGTTTTATATTCTAGTTTCTTCAAAATAGCCACCCTTTGCTCTGATTACTGCTTTGCACACTCTTGGCATTCTCTCCATGAGCTTCAAGAGGTAGTCACCTGAAATGGTTT